GTCCAAGCCAGGTTCTAGAAGTTGGAGGCCCTAAGTTATTTCTAAAGATACTTCCAGTGTATTAGTAGCAATAAACATGCTTCCTGGATAACATGATTTTACACATCTCAGGGATCTCCTCGTTCAAGGTTCAGGTCTCCATCTGCCTTGGTGGCCAAATGAGGTCAAAAGAGCAACTGGTCTGGGAAGGCTTCAGTCAAGGTCAAAGGTCATTGGAGACCATCCTCTCAGTACATACATTAACAAAAAACCAGCTGCTGCAACTTCTTCCCTTAACCTAAAAATACACTGGCTGATTCATGAGGCCTCTAGCATTTTCCCCCTGGTACATAGAAAGCTGAAATCGACAGGACATGGTCCAGGGGGGAGGGGGTGTACATAATGTGTATAAACTTTGGTGGATGTAGCCCCAAGGATTCACTTAACAAGACAATCCAGCACCAACACCTACAGATGGTCTCAGGGTGTATAGGTCTAAGGGCCTGGATCTTTCTTGGTTCAACCAGAGAAACTTTCTTTCTCTGAAAGTTTTGTCAGTGATTCTGCACTTCATATGGGCCAGTCCTGTGGTGGTTTGAACCCTCTCAGTCTTTTCATCTGCCCATGAGGGCCGTATTTGGCCAAACAGGTCACAGTCATTCTCTAGCCAACTTTGTATTGTTTTTTTTTTTTGAAAAATATTTTTATTGCATTTTTTCAAAACACACGCAAGCAGGATGACAGCGTGGGCCCAATATGCTGCAAGTAAGGGTTCTAGACCCTATGGAAAGTATCTATTTTGGAGTGAAACATACATGTGATGTATTCACTAGGAATGCAGTCCATAACGATGTTCTTTCTAGCAGCAAAAGTTAGTATATTGAAAAGTCTCCTGTGTTTACTGTCAGTGATCTGATCATCCAGGAGACCAAGTATCAGGCACATAGGGTCCATCCGTATTGAGACACCAAAGATTGCAGTTAGTTCATTCACAATACTAGACCAGTACATTTGTAACTTCACACATGACCAGAGGCAGTGAAAGTAATCACCAGTCTCAGAATTGCATTTCCAGCAAAGCGGGGAATTATTAGCGTCCATTTTGTTCTTGACAACAGGTGTTATATGTTTGCAATGTACAATTCTGAACTGTATGGATTTGGTGCGATTGCACACAGAGATTTTCATGGCCTGAGACCAGACTTCCCGC